CCATGACCTCGTACGAAGAGTTACAATCTATTAAGTTGACTTATCATAACAAAAAAAGGCAAACGCTTACAAATTCAATAAGAGTATGTGATCCGGAAGCTTCAATAGGAGTCTATACAACTTTGCAAGCTCAAATGATAGTTCTCTCATTATGTGAATAAAGACTTATTTTCCTTTTTTAGGTCTTTTAGTAGATTTTCTAAAACATATTTATAATATATAATGGTCTTGTATGGATGGATAAAACTTATGTGTTCTTACACATGCCTCGCTTATCTAGCAAAGAATATGATCATAGCCGATCATTGCAAGGAATTAAAGGTGCTTCATACACATAAAATTTTAGGAACAACTATATGAATATAAATTTCAATTATTGTGATCATAACAACCAACTATGATGATAATTCCCATAAATAATAAGATATTTGAACAATTTTTTTTTATTTTTTGTCAACTTCGGCCACCGACAAGGAAGAAGGGGACCAAAACAAAGCAATTGCCACCTAGCTAATTGGGGAGAACTAGAAACCCTAAATATACTCGGTCTACATAGATATCTAGATAAGAGGTTGATTACGTATGGGGAAGATATGATGTCACCACCATCCCGTCCTACCTAAGATAGGCTACATTGTTTGCCTATGAATGTAAAAATCTGATTTTTTTAATTCTATTATACTTCTATGCCTATTCAAATGAATTTATTTGGTAAAAATATGGGATGAGATGGTTCAGCTATAAAACAGGATAGTTTAGGCTTTCGGGTCGATCTTAGGCCAATACACCCTACCCAAATGGGAAAAAGTTACCAACAAGTGGAAAGTCATCAACGACATCGCATCATGCATTTAAGAAGTTACCAACAACTTCGTCATAGAAGTAAAAATTCATCAACAACTTCATGCTTCTCAAACGAGGAGCAAATAACTATTTTGAAAATTGGTCCTAACTTCATCAAATAAGTGAGAAGCTACGAGCAACTTCGTTTCAAAAAGCATACATCAAATAAAAATTATTTCAAACCGGTAGCTTCATTATATCATTACAAACAGATCATAAAAAGTCAATTAAATCACAAACTTCACATTTAAAAAGACAAGCATGAAAATAAGAAAACATGGCATACTCGTCCTTTAATGATCATTGCAATAATGTTTTATTTTAACCAGACTTTTAATTTGCAAATGTTATACCATATATCACAATTTTAATCACATTCTTAAGCACAAAGTCATTTTTAAACATTTATCATGCTTTCGAAATGTCATGTTTTAGGATTTTTTACCCAAAAAGTCTTAAAGTGTCGACGTTAAATTTGAAATCAATCCTACTCTCTTCATTTTCGATGACAATCAAATATTTGATTAGCTAAAAAAGGATGGTAATCGTTATTTGAGAATGTGTGGGTGAGTGCGGCTAGGGTGGCCAAGAACTCCTCATTTGATAGGCTACAAAATTGGCAACATTACCGCAAAATTTACAGATTTCCCAAAAACTTCAAGTGAGTTTTATAGCTTGTTTTCCTATCAAAAAAATCAACCAAATGTAGTCTACCACATCATGTTGTTCCCGCCAATAATCCAACATAATAAAATCTTTTAGTCTCTCTTTTTTAAAAAAAAAATTTACCTTTATTTTCTCGTTTTTTAGTAACCAAAAAAAAGTGTTCAATGGGGGCTATTTTGAGGGGGTTTGTAGCTTTTTTGGTGGGTGTTTTAAGGGGTTTATTGGGTTGTTTTAAAGCTAGTTTAGGTTTTTTTTTTTTTTGGGACTACTTTGTCTGGCTTAAGGGAGTCTGTTTGGAGGGAGTTTTCTCGTAATTTTTTTGGGGGTTGTTGGTAATGGTTGCGGTGGTTGATTTTAGAGAGTTTTTAGTTGGTTTTTAAGCCTCGTTTTAGGGCTGGTTTTTGGGCTAATTTTAAGGGATTTTACGTTTCATTTGTAGCTACTTTAAGGGCTAGTTTTAGGGCTTTGAAAGAGGCAAGTTTTATGATGGGTTTTGCGTCTAGAATGGGGGGCTTTTGGTGGCTACGGGCTAGAGTTGAGGCTAGAGCTACTGGTTGAAGTGGGGTTACTATGTGTGTGGGCATGGGGGATGGCCGGCTAAGTAAGGACTTACGAGGCGAGGTCAGCTATGGGGCTGTTTGGTCGCCAAGGTAGGGTTGGGGTGTAACGACCCAAACCTTGCACACATCATATGCATCCTTTTATGTGTTTAGCTTGATGCCTACTTAATTTTTTTGATGGATGATTTCTACTTAAAGCCAACTCGTGTCAAGACATGCCGGATTCGTAACCGAAAATAGCAATGTCTTGACACGATAGTTTTGTCGTTGAAACTGTCATGCTAAGATAAGCTTTATTTGTCAATGAAACTACCGTATCCAAACTTACTCGCTTTTGTTGATGAGCTTAATATTTAACTTAGGTTTTGCTACCAAATTCCATGTTAGTATGCTATGTGAAATGTCTCGTCAAAAATAACTAAGTTCGGACATGCCATTTTTCATTGATGAAAAATGTTGTGTCCAAACATTCTAGTTTACGTCAACGAAAACTACCACTATCATAACATTAGTTTTTTATTGACGAATTTTCTCGTCTAATCATACATAATGTCATATTAGTCCCTTTATTATAAAAATCTTTTAAGGACACATTAATTATGATTTGTACTTGAATTAAGGAACTGGATAGCATAGATTAAATAACCGAAGGGAGCTTAACTTTTTCTTGAGATAGTGGAATGTAAGGTGTCACTACCATGCCTTGCATGGGGTGACTCGGCCAGGAGGTGTCATCCTCTAGAATTTTAGGTCATTTTATATTGTATGGTTGGCCTATATAAAGAGAGGGTGAGACCATGGCTAATTCTTTTGGCCATTTGAACAATCTATAAGAGAAAAGGGAGAATTGCTTAAGTGGGAGCTATCGTAGCTTGCTGAAAGTGTTGAACCGCTTTAGCTGCCATTTTCTATCTCCTAACTTTAGACTAAGTATAATCCATTCATCTACACTACAAGACCTAGGTTTAGGCATTCTAGACATATTGAGCTTGATTGTTGCTATATTTATTTGCTCGAATGAAAAAGGGATTAAAACTTGATGCATGTGGACTTAGGATTGACTACTAAGCTTAGAATTATCATGTAAACCCTAGAAAAATGTGGATTGAACTTGATGGGCCGTTATGGTTGAATGGAATGCTTGAATTACTTGATTGTATTCTGCCATGATTGGCTTATACTTTATCGAAATTGTTTGGCTTGTATTCCGTTGAAACGCTTGGCTTGTATTCGCCAAAATTGCTTGGCTTGTATTTTGTTGAAATTGCTTGGACTTATGATTCCGTCAAAATTTCTTAGCTTGTGTTATGCCAAAATTTCTTGGCTTTTGATTCTACTTAAATGTTGAATTGTGTGCTCGTCATGTTTGGCTTGATAAGTTATAACTTGTCTTGGGTTAGCTTTAATGCGTAGAGGTTATTAGTATAGTTATGTTATCTTGAATTTATTGATGATATTTGGTTGCTCAAGCATTAAAAGGGCATGTATTCATGGCATGACATGGCATAACAATTATTTTCATAGCTCATGTTTTAAAAGAAAAAAGAAGTCATTACATGAATATGGAAATGTCACCCACGGGAATGATCCGGTGTATACCCAAGGGTTGAACATAAAGAGGCCACCCTCGAGAATGATCCGATGTATACTCAAGGTCGGTCCTCAACTAAACATTGTCTAGTTCAATGGTTTTCAAAATTTTAAAAGAGGGTCGGATCGGACATTCGGCGAGGCATGTCCGAAAGACGGAAAATGAATTTCTTCACAAAAATATGCTTTCATAAACTCGTGCATGATTACACTTGTTGAGTATTAGATCATTCTTTATGTCTTATGGTGTAGGTAATCGCAACGATGCTTACAAGTAGGTCAGTCGCGAAAATGGTGCTACTAGACACTTTTGGAGTTTGCTAAAAGGTGTACTTTCATCTTGACATTAGGTCGTAGGCTATGTCTAGCTTATATTTACATGTCATAGCATGATTTTGTTTGTAAATGTTAAATGTAAACAACCTTATGGCCAAGAAAAGCTCGTAAAAAGTTTATTTTGAATGAAATGAAGTATTTTGCCTAAAGCTTATGTTTCTTATGTTTATGTTGCCTCAAATATTTAGAGATCCCACATAAAGCATTCATAATGTGTTCATATAGCTAGACCCTTAGTTTTCACAGCGAATTCACATGACGGTAGGTTGTCATGAATTGCGACAAACTTAGGTCGCCGTAGATGCATGCTACATGGTGCGGTTTTATGTCAACGAAATTCGAGTCACGACGTAACTTTTGCATCGACAAAAAAGTTTCGGATACGAATTAAGTTCTTAAGTAGGCTTTCAAGCCAAATTTCTTCCATTGTGGATTGTATATCCAATGTATGGTTTCAATTTAAAGGGCATCGATGCACATTTGGCAAGTACGAGACGTGGCAACGACGAACCCAGCCCTCGTTGGCCGCGTGCGCCGTAGCTCATCCAATGCTTTACGAATGTTCAATGCTATCATAGTGTTCCAACCTCCTTTTTAAGGCTCGGGGCAATACATGGACTATGGGGGTGTTGTGCGGGTGTGTGTTATGTGTCTTAAGAGGTCGTTTTGGTGGCTTAATGAGGATGTCTTAAGAGGCTATTGTATAGGTTGTTTTATGGGTTATAAAGGAGTGTTTAGGGGTTATTTTAAAGGGTGGTTGTGATGGCTTACGAGGGGAGAGGCACTAGAGCTACAACTTGGCTTATGGGGCGAGGCGAGAAGGGCTAGTTGTTGGCCTACTAGTAAGCTTACCGGCTAGCTCGTTAGTTGGCCAACCGATTAGCCTATGATAAGCATGAGTGACGAGGTGTAAATGTTGCTTTACACGTGCGAGGAGGAAAACCACAAACGTGCATGCGTGAGGGAGGGGCTAGGGCGGGAGCCGTAGGGGAGTGGTGTGCGAGTATGCTTGGTTGGCCTACCGCAAGCCGCGACCGGCTCGCTAATGTGCCTCGTGTGTGGGTGTGCTATGAGTCGTTGGTCGGCCTACTCGTGAGTGAGAAGGAGAAGGCTGGAATGGGCGAGAAAGGGGTGTGTTTATTGGCATAGGGGAGGCTGGTGGTTAGTGAAGGCGTGATTGAGGCTATCTTAGTGAGGGAGGAAAATGAGTGTTTGTGGGTTGGTTATGGTGGTTTTTGTCAAAGGAAGAAAAGGCTGCCATGGAGGAAATTTTCGAGCGAGGGAGCAGGAGGAATAATGTCGACTGGGTCTTTCTTAGTTAATGATGAACGAGTAAGCGATATAAAAAAAATGCAAGGGGGCTTTTTATATGTAGGGTTTTTGACAAAGTTTGTTTTTGGTCCCCAATGCTCCACCAACCATCAATTTGAGTTTCATCTTGATTTTTTTTTTTTTGATGGAGCCCCTAAATCTCAATTAATTTGGACTTTTCTTTTTATTTCTTTCAAATTGTGCCCCCTCCTCATTTTAATCAAAAGACATATGTTTTTTTTTTAATTGGACCCTTAGTTGTCCTTTTAATTATTTCCAACTTTTATCTTTCTCAATTAACCCCCTTTTCTAGAACTAATCTAAGCTAACTATTTTAATTATTTTTTTCTTTTTTCGTTTTTCATTTATTTCTCTTTTTTCTTCATTTTTGGTTTGTTTGTCATTTTATTATTATTATTATTATTATTATTATTATTATTTGGTATTTTGCAATAGAAGTAAAACTAATAAAGGTAAAAATTTAGGTGATAATAATTGCCCCCTCTTTACAATGCTTTTGTTACAAAGTTATTGAAAGTTCATTCTTTGACTTTGTATAGAAAGCTTTGTAAAGAAAAAAATTGAAATTCAACGAGACATGATTGACCATTAATTTTGCAAGGTATGATAGACCATTTTGACCTCGTAGGATGTGACATACCACTCGACTTTGCAAGACATGACGGACCACTTTGGACCTTGTAAGATATGACGGACCACTTTGACTTGGAGGGATGTGATAGACCACGTCAATTCTGTTATTTTTGGTAGATCGCTTTGATTTAACGAGACATGAAAAGCCACTTTGACTTTGGTAGGCTTGACAAACCACTTCAATTTTGTAAGACTTGATAGACCATTCGACCTTGCGGGATGTGATAGACCACTCGACTTTACAAGATGTGACGGACCGCTCTAACTTTGTAGGATGTGATAGACCACTTTGAGATGTGACGGACCACTTTGACCTTGAAGGACGTGATAGATCACTCTAATTTTATAGGATGTGATAGACCACTTCAATTTTACAAGATGTGACGGACCACTCGGACCTTGCGGGATGTGATAGACCACTTTGATATAAAGGGACATGATGGATCATGTCGACTTTGTAGGACATGACAGAACACATCAATTTTAAGGGACGTGACGGACCACATCGACTTGAAAGGACAAGATAGATCATATCTATCCGAGGGGATGTAATAGACCACGATGATCGAAAAAGGACATGACAAACCATGTGTATTTGGAATGACATGACGAGCCACGTTAACTTGAAAATGACATGACGGACCATGTCAAATTGAAAGGGTGTGGCGAGACCATTTCGAATTAGACTAACGTGATGGAACACACCGACTAAGAAGGGCATGACATACCACATCCATTTGGAATGATACGACGGACCATGTTAACTTTATAGGGACATGACAAACCACGTCAATTTAGAGGGACGTGACGGACCATATCGACTCGACTAAGGCATGACCGACCATTTTGACTTAGATCGATGTGATAGACCACATTGGTTTATAAAGGGTGTGACGAGACCATAATTTTTTTTTGACGAGGCGTGACGGACCACTTTGACTTAAACCGACAAGATAGACCATGTTGTTTAATAAGATTTAACTAACCATTCTAGCTTAGACTAATGGTAGATCATATTTATTTGAAATAACATGATAGACCGTGCCTTTTTTTTTTACAAGATGTAATAGACTACTTTGACTTAAACTAATGTGATATATCACATTTTTTGATAAGATATGATTGACCATTTGGACCTAGACTAACGTGACGGATCACATTGGTTTTAACTCACATAATAGCCCCTACTTTTTGACAAGATATGATTCACCATTTTGACCTGGACTAACATGACGACCCATATTGGTTTTAACTAACGTAACGAGCCCTATTTTTTGACACGATATGACTAACTATTTTGACTTGGACTAACATGACAGAACACATTGGTTTTAACCGACATAACAAGTCTCACTTTTTGATCGGATATGACCGACCATTTTGACCTAGACTAACATGATAGACCACATTGGTTTTAATTGACATAACGAGCTTCACTTTTTGACAAGATATGATTGACCATTTTGACCTAGACTAATGTGACAAACCATGTTGGTTTTAACTATTTTAACAAACCATACTTTTTGATAAGATATGACTAACCATTCCGACTTAGAATGACGTGTCAAACCACATTGATTCAAAAGGATATGATATAACATGTTTTCCGACAAGATATGATTGACTATTCTAACTTAGACCGGCATGTCGAACATATTGATTCAAAAGAATATGATGGATCATGTTTTTTGACAAGATATGACTAATTATTCCGACTTAGATTGACATAACATGCCATATTAATTTTAACTTGCATGACGAGACCATAATTTTTTATAAGATATGATTGATTATTTTGACTTAGACTTGTGTGACGAGCCACATTGGCTTAAGAAGACATGACGGACCATTTTTTTACCGGATGTGACTCACCATTTAATACGGATTGATGTGAAGTTTTTAGAGAAGTATAGGTCGTCACTATCAAGACATAGATTTCCCTTTTTTCTTCATTTGTGTGTTGTCTAGCTTGAATAAGTGCGAGTGTCTTAGGCCAGTTGGTTTCATTGAGCTCATCAATTTGTATTTTCAATTAAACCCCCTATTCTTGTATTCATTAAAGATTGCTACTTGGACTAATGCTTGTGTCATTTGAGTGCTATTTGCTCTTTTGACTGAGCAGGTGATCAATATTTTTGTGTGCCTCTTTTGGTATCGCCCTCAAATGTCTAGACTTTTGTAACCACATATCAAGAGTTTGTCCTAAAATGGTTACGATGGTCTTTTGTCTCAACTGTCTATAGTTCATCATGAGAAAGCTTATAACAAATTTCATAAAGGCTGACCTTTTATAGACCAAATTGGAGTAAGATCCTTATCGAGTTATCATATTTCAATTCAATGCATTATTACATTTCATGAATGATATCAATTATAGGATCGTGTATGAGACCAAAGAAGAGTTTTTTTTTCTTTTTAGGAACTGATCATACTTATGAAAACAAAGGTTTTTTTAGACATGAAAGTTCATGAATCACATTATTTTAGGAGGAATCAAGAAATGAAGAAGCAAAGTCAAATGATTGTGCTAATGAATATTTGTTCATAAATCCGATTATCTTCTTGTTGCTCTTCTAATGCTCACGTAGATTTATGACCAATCTAAACATGGAATGTTTCTAAAATATTGGTATTGATAATCCATTCATGATTTATCTTTCATTGTTATTGCTCATGTTGCTCATCTTCTTTTGGTATTAGCACTTGATTTTGTGAACTTGTCTTTGAGAGAGATTTTTTTTTTAATTTTTAGAAAATCATTTTCATTTGTTGTGATTTTCATGGATCAAGTTGTCTATTTGAAAATTTTCCATCAATACAAGTTGAATTATTCAAGAGAAATCATTGAGATGTTTAACCGAAAGTAATCTCATTCAAAAAGGTGTTTGACTTATTTGGGCAATAGAAAAAATGCATCAAGTAATTTCGAGAGTAAATCTCATGGTAATTTGTTTTAAGGATAAGATGAGCAAAATGTGTTTGAATCATAAGAGTTTTGAAAAGTATTAGTCTCTTCTAATAGGTGATTAATAAAATTTTGGTCCCGCAGTAAGACGTGATTGGATGAATTTCAAGAACTAAAAGAGTTTTTTGAAGAATGTTTGGCTTAAATGGACAATTTTTGTTTTTGATGAAAATTTATGATTTAATATCATAAATGATGATTTTTAATGCATTAAAAAGTCAAGTTTATTGAAAAACATTTTTCTTCTTCTCATTTGAAGATAGAACTCATCAACACTAACAAGCCGACTTTGATAAAAAAAGGCTTTCATAGGTAATGTAGGCCATGGCTTTGGTTTATGAATGAAAGGATATAAAAACCTCAAATGGTGTTTAAAGGTGTCAAGATCTATGATCACTTAGTTATTCATTGAGATCATTTTAGGCATATCGCCTTGATTTTGTCATCTTACCAATTGATCTCATCTTCTAATCTCAACTCTCCTTTCATGTTCACTCTTGTCATTCATTTTTTTTTTTTTTGGTTTTGTGACTTCGACTCGGCATTTCTAACTCCAAGTTATGAGAGGAATCGTTCTAGATAGCCTTTTTTTTTATCTTAGTGCTTTCACTTTTTTTTTCATTTTCTCCTTTTGGTTTCAAAGTTGTTCAAGGATCCTCTTAACAAGTTTTTGTTTTCCGAACAATTATCACTTATCATCTCATCTTTCTAGGAGAACGCCCTTCATTACTAATGAACTTCAAAATTGCCCCAAGTGTGAGGGGTGATCCTAGTCTAGGTTATTGTTGAAAGGAATCCTTCAAGCTCAAAGTTAGATAGCAAGGGATAAGTTTTTTGTTTGTGGAAAAGTATAAAAAATGGCCTTTCTTCATCTAAAATATCAATTTGTTCATGTCGATAAGCTTTAGCTTCGCTTAACACATATGATCGACTTATAAAGAAGAAGTGATGGATGAGGTTAGATCAAGACCCGTATGCATACAACTCATCATCATTTAAGACATCAAATCACTTTTTGGTTTTTTTTTTTGTCATTGTCTTTTTATTTTGGGTTTTTTTCGGGTTTTTGGGGGGGGCATCAATGTATCGTCTTAGGCAAGACTATCTTGGAGGGATTTATCAAGAGTAGGAGAGGAATATTTTTGGTTTCAAATGAAAGAGACTATCCCATAGCATTTGCATGATATGTTTTGAAAGTTGATCAATGTTGAAAGATTTTGAATGAATTTTCCATTTTATTCGTTTTGATTTGAATGACATAAAATGATAGTGATACTTTCAAATAAACATCTCTTGATTTCAAATCAATAATAAGATCATGCCAAGAAATTAGGATTTTTTTTCAAAAAAATAACCTAATCCATGAAAATTAAAAAACTTTTACAAATGAAA